AAGAATAATGAATTGGTCCCATTGGTGAAAAGGAAGCAAAACTCTCTGCATACTGTACATTCCCCTTCCGGGATTTTCACAGCCAGAAATCTCTGATCTTACAAAGATGTTGCAGCCAAACTCAGTCCATCAATGGGAGAGCACAAGTCTTAACTGCCTGAGCGGTCTTGCAGAACTGCACTTCCAGTGTTTGAGCTCACTCTGACTACATAACGCTACTTTGACCAGACCCTGTCGATCCACTTTGTTGGTAACAATGGTTAATAACATAAGTTAATTTATCTTTGTCATATCTGTTCCATAAAACCAGTGCTCTTCATTTTACTGATACTTTGTTAATTTCTCACACTTTTAACTGATGGGTAGCTGTTGTTGCTCAGTGGATTTTATCAAGTTATATGCCTGTCTGTCTTGTAAAAGAGTACATGTTATTATAGTGTGATATAAATATAATCATTATATAGATTGCAACCTAAATAATGGGGTCATTTGCTAAAACATGATTTCAGTGCTTTGTATGAATTTCTTAAATGTATGGTTTCTGCACAATGCTTGTAAACTGTTGTGTTCTCAAACATACTGAGGAGTAATGAAGTACAGGACACATTCACATGACAGAGTGCTGTTATTGCCGACTGTGAGCATGTTTTGGAGTGCATTAATTTTGCATGTGCACCAGATTAATTTGCTCCCAAGTTAATCATTTTCTCACAACGCCATTGTTTTAAAATAAGATCACTTTATTGGCCATATACAATTTCTTGAAATTGTATATGGCCAATAAAGCCATAGTCTTATCACATACCCCAACTGGCTCTCCACGAGACACACAGACAGGGAGAGAAGCTGGGGGTCAGGGCGCAGGGTCAGCCATTTATACAGCGCCCCCGGAGCAGTTGGGGTTAAGGGCCTTGCTCAGGGGCCCAATGGATTAGGATTCCTCTACCGGCCGCGGGATATGAACCAGCAACCTTCCAGCCACAGGCGCAGATCCTGAGCCACAGAGCCACCACATTAATAGGCCATCTCACTTCATAAGCACCTCCTGTGTGAATAATGTGTCTTTTCCACATGAATCAACCAGCAATCACTATGATAACACCAGTGTCAGGTGTTCAGAATAAGTGTGGTTTATCACTACCGGAACCACTAAGCAAATCACCAAACCTCAGCTGTTAATCTTACAGCCAAGGGGAAGGAGCAGGGAGGATACAGACTTGTAAAGATGTTATGTAATATCTGACCTTTTGAAAATTGGGCTTTTAAATAGTGATTGGCAGAACTGCCGGCGGTTCCTGGCGCACACAGTCTTGTGTTGTCTGATATCTTGTAAATCAAATTATGTTAACAGAACAGAAAGAAAAATCACCAATATAAAGCTTTTTAAGAGAAGCATCATCACAAACCGATGATACAGCAAAAATCTCACACAGCACATTTCATAACTTTTAACCAGCAAAACGTAAAAAAAAAACAAATTTCACGACAAGCCTTACATCAAACGAAACAAGACAACGGGAGCTTTGCAGAACCGTTTTTCAAACCAAAATACAGCAAAGCTATCGATTTCAAAAACAGTTTTTATCACAAGACACACTTCAGAAAACTCCCAAACTCCGTCGATAATTCATCAATAACGCAGCAAAAGCAAAATCTCGCCAAATACATAAAATCTCATGGTCCTACCGTGTACGACGCGGTTACCAAACCCAAACATACCCACACATGACTAAAGTTACTCATCTCCAGACTGGGAGGAAACTGAAAGCTCTTGGCTATTTTTTTTAAACTGACCGCCGTGGAAAATGGGGTCTGATTGGTTTAAATTGCTGTCTTTCAATGTGCTCTCAACCATTCACAGCGCTGGTGGAAGGGACTTCCTCCGAGAAGCTCTGGCTAGGTTGTAGCTGTGGGTTATTGATATAGCCGGTGATTGACAATCAGATTCATATCAGCGTTGATCAGTTCAGCCCTGGAAGCTGATTTAGTTATTTCTTCACTGCCTAACACAGCAACAAAAGATAACAGTAGTGCTTAGAGGCTTTCCATAGTAATCGCAACAGCTTTTACACCTTTTTATTTTATCAAATATTTTTAATCAATTTTCTTGGTACTGTATGTGAGCAGTATCATTCCAGAGCCTGTTTTCACAAATATTTCTGTATTTGTTTTATATTTTTTCAGCTTTTTATACAAGATAGTGGACACATGGGGCGAGGCCTACAAGCTTTTTCAGCTGTGAGACAGGGACACAACTTGAAAAACTGATCTTTGAAAACAGAAAGACATACATGGGAAGTTAAAATGTCCACACTGTGGATAGGCTGGACCTTCTAAAAGACAGTGCTTCCAGAAAAAAAAAAATGTCTAAGCTCTTTTAGTTCTTTATCCTTGTCCTTATCCAGAGCCTTAAATCTCTGAAGTCCTGCCCTTTTGCACCAGTTGGCTTATGAATTAGGTTTGAAATGTCAAGTCTTGAAGGAATAGAGTTGCCCACCAACCCACCCACAGCTTGTTTCTGTTCCAGTCTGATTTTTTGTGTAGGTGTTTTTCTTTATCTTCTCTGGGACCTGCTTCAGCCCTGCATAGCGTCTGCGATTTGACACGATCATGGATCAAGCCATTGCAGATTCTGGCTTGAGTCCACAAAAGCTACATACTGTAGTCTATAATATCTCAGCTATAATACCCTGCAGCTCACAACTGGCAACCCACTGAAGCTCAGCAGGTGTCAGCCTGGTCAGTACCTGGATGGGATACCTCCTGGGAAAAACCTGGGTGCTGCTGGAAGTGGTATTAATGGGGCCAGCAGGGGGCACTCACCCTGCGGTCTGTGTGGGTCCCAATACCCCAGTATAGTGATGGGGGCACTGTACTCTAAAAAGACACCGTCCTTCGGATAAGGCATAAAACCTAGGTCCTGACTCTCTGTGGTCATAAGAAATCCCAGGGTGTTTGTTGACAAGAGTAGTAGTGTTACCCCAGAGTCCTGGCCAAATTTCCCCCTGGCCTTTACCAATCATGGCCTCCTAATAATCCCCATCTCTGAACTTGCGTCATCACTCTGTTCTCCTCCCCACTGAGAGCTGGTGTGTGGTGAGCATGTTGGTACTGGTACAAGTACTGGTGCACTATGGCTGCCGTCACATCATCCAGGTGGGGCTGCACATTGGTGATGGTGGAGGGGATCCCCATTACAATGTCCACAAAGACATTGCTTGAGCAGGCCAAGCTGCTAGTCAGTTAAAAAGGAATTTTGGCAAAAATGGTTTCTCCTTTTAGGCAGCATTGCAGAAACATTAAGGTCACGAATCCCAGATCAGGGAAATAGGGGCAAAAAAAAAATTCTTAACGTACGCCATTCCTTTTTTAAGAAGTAAATAGCTAAATAGCATCATTCTAAAATTAAATTCATCTGAGCTATTAATGTGAAGAGTACCACCTGTTTCTTAAAGCTGAAACTGCTTAATATTTAGTACAGTAAATACAATTAATTATCACTTTTCTAGACTTTTGAAAGACTTTCAGACCTATCCCACAATAGATGCTTGGAACTCAGCTCAAAATGCAGATTTTGAGATAAGTACAATGAAGAAATTAGTTAGTGAAAAACCATTGTTGTCATCATGGCCTTCAGAGCCACACTGCCAGACAATAATGTCATGAAGTGGTTTGGTGCTGCTCAGCAGAGAGGCACTGTTTTTGTCTTTACTGTCATCCAGGCT